GTAGGGGCAGCTACAGCCGTGCTAACTATGTAGGGGCAGCGACAGCAGTTCTAACTATGTAGGGGCAGCGACAGCCGTGCTAACTATGTAGGGGCAGCGACAGCAGTGCTAACTATGTAGGGGCAGCGACAGCCGTGCTAACTATGTAGGGGCAGCGACAGCCGTGCTAACTATGTAGGGGCAGCGACAGCCGTGATAACTATGTAGCGGCAGCGACAGCCGTGCTAACTATGTAGCGGCAGCGACAGCCGTGCTAACTATGCATGATATGGAACCATCTAATGTCACTGCTGTCACTGTCACATGGAACCCCCTGCTGCCCCTGCCCCTACATAGTTAACACTGCTGTTGCTGCCCCTACATAGTGAGCACTGAAGCGACAGCAGTGCTCACTATGTAGGGGCAGTGATATCCATGCTAACTATGTAGGGGCAGTGACAGCAGGTGGTTCCATGTTACAGTGACAGCAGTGACAGCAGGTGGTTCCATACCATGCATAGTGCTTTAGATTAAAAGACTATATTAATTAGGATATGTATGCTTCCAAAAATAATAAATAATTCCATCATCTCCCTTCTTTTTTTTTTTTCAACTAGACTACTGACTGTGACGCCACTACCGGAAGATGTCAGCAGTGAAGTGTTACTATATTTGGGCGAAAATGGCCGCTCCCAGACTCAGTGATCATGACGATAATTATTGTTTTTATTTTTTTACTGATTAACGCTAAATTCATAAATTCAACATATTAATTTTAGTTATAATGACCCATTGATTATTCCTTGCTGACCGGACTTTTCCTTTAAATTATTTTACGTTTGGTCCAAAAATAAAAAGCTGGAGTTCTGCAGGAAACATATACCTTTGCAGGGAGAAGATGCAAACTCCTTAGAGACAGCTACTGGCTGGATCAAACCTGCTGTCCTTTCTCCCCCAAGTAGCTTTAGTTAAAAGAATGATGATAATAAAATGTAATATGAGGTAAAATGTTTACGTTTGACCTATATGTTTGGATTATTCTGGGTGTCATGGCACAAATGAAATCCAGACTCCATAAATGAATGATCTAATGATCAGAAACTACCTTTTTTTGTGTGGATGGATGCTGAGTGGAAAACAAGAATACTTACTGAAGAAAAAATGATGAAAATGCTGAATGAATGATGAAGACAAAGCTGGAACAACCCGTCATACAAAGATGATGACCTATAAAATAAAGACAGCGGTCTCAGTCATGCATTACTCTCATTACAGTCAGTCTGCAGACAACAGGCAGACAACCTTACAGTGACCCATCAGAATCAAACAGGCTTTAGGAGGATGGGAGCAGGGAGGTGCACAGATATAAACTAGAACACCTGCCCTTTTCACGCTGATCCAAAGGAGTGCCATAATGATGATGCCTTTTTTTTTAACAGTGTAGCTTTAGTGTGTGGCCCATTTCTGGATTTAAAAACTTATACAGAAAACGCTAACTTTTATACTTTTGCAGGACAAACCTACCTCTCTCGCCTCATCCCCCACCAAAACTGAATGTTTTGAGATGGTTCATTACTTCACAGACACTAATGTTTCATTATACTGTGTCAGGGTTTATACAGGAATGAGTAACTCTATAACTTAATATTTTTAATGCCCTTCAACAAGTACCCATGACTCATATATATATATATATATATATATATATATATATATGTGTGTGTGTGTGTGTGTGTGTGTGTGTGTGTGTGTGTGAAACAAGGCAAAACTCTTCATCATCTTTACTATAAACAGGCCCGATAACCTTGTGTTCAAGCCACTTTTGTTGAAATGTTCCTTTTCCCCATTCTCTAGCTTTTTCTCCACCTTGAGTTTCTTTTCCGAACATACGACTTTACCATGAACCGGAAGCTGTTCCGCACAAATAAGCGGGACCATTTTTATCGGACATAATATATCTGATGGAATTGTTTTCATTAGTGTTGCAGCACTGCCACTTTTTGGGCCAGATACCGATAACCGATACCTGGCTGTGCAGTATTGGCCAAGTACCACCTGTTGAAATTGATGTGTGTGTGTGTATATCTATGAAGAACTGCATACTGCTTGGATGTAAAATAATTGCCATCATGGCTTTGTCAAGCTGCTGCCTACCTTTGTGAAGCAGGAAACAGACTAATACAAAGTGAATCCAGTAGAACTTTTTATTGCCTACCTGGAACGGGTGACAATAGTTCAATAACCTTTTGGCTCTCTAAATGGTATTGGTGTCCTATTTGTTGGTACTCGATACTGATACCACCATTTTAGTGCTGGATCGGGGCCCTGCCCGATACTGGTATCGGTGCAACACTTGTTTTTATAAACTTTTAAATGCCAAGATAATCACATTCAATGAATGTAATGCCAATTAAGGCCTTAATTTAAAAAATAATTCAATGACTTTAATGACCTGCGGAAACCGAGTTTTTAACATTATCAATAGGCGTGTAAATCACACCCATCATGGCGATTCCATTCAGTATCAATTTTCCTGACCCAACGACTCAAGAATACATTATCTTTGTTTTCCTCCGCCATGTCTGCCTTGTCTATAGTTTCCATGTATTTTCACATGAAAGAATTGAGTGGGAAGAGGGTAGTGGTTTATAGAAGCGAGGTAGGAGGGCAAAATAGGTTTAGCGCCACCGCAGCACGGGAGTCCAAATGACGTCCAGGAGCAAATGGATGAAAATAGACCGGAGGAAAAAGAAAACTCTTGTGGACGTGTCGATGCTTTGGATCATCGGCTGTCGGATCGATGCATCGATACAAAACTATTATTATTATTTACACCCCTATTTATCAAAGATATTTATCAGACAGAATCTGGCTAATGATTTAAAATAGGCGATTAGGCACTGCTTTTTCCCTACTAGAGCACCTGCCCCCCAACATGTGTGTACACGGCAGTGGATGGGACAGTTTGGGTGGATCATCAGTGCAGCTCAACCACCCAAAACATCAAGGCCCCTGAAAGCGAAGCTCTGAGGAGCAGTTCGGTCCAAATTGAACCTTTAAGCTTCACTTGTTTAAAGTGATGACGGCCGGACCGAGCAGCCACTGTTTACTGTCTTGTTGTGTTGAGCTCTCTCTGTGTGAGATTAGGAAGACCCGATGGCCAGCAGCCTGGATTCCTGCCTCTGAGCTCACAATGTTTTAATCTCTGAGCGAAACGTCGATCTGAGCTGAGATGAGCAGAACCAGAACAGAACAGAATCAGAGCAGAACCAGAGCAGAACAGAATCAGAGCAGAACCAGAG